TGCCAAATACAAAAGGAGATCTGAAGCTACAAAAGTGTGGGCACCCCTGGTGTAGAGAATGGTCCACAGAAGAATAAGGGCAGAATAACAGAGGACTCAGACGGTCCAACTTCTTATAGCCAGTTTTTGCATTAAAAAAAAGTGAGAAGTGCTCATGTACTGTCAACTCAAAACAAAAACATCCCTAGAATAAAAAGAAATTAAAGTGTACTTTGAAACAATAACACTATTTACAGGCAGTTGGACCTGAGTTTCCCCAAAAGGCCCGAACCCAATCAAGCACTAAGGGAATAATCTGAAACAACATCAAACAGCATTTCCCACATACATCAACCAGGCCTGAATCGATTTAACTTTCTTGTGGAAGAATGGGGTCGGATCCTTCCTGCAGAGCTCCGCTGACGGACTCGGATGCCATGGCGAGAAAAGGCTGTGCTGGCCACACGTGCCGAGCTCGTACTGGTCGCCATTTTCCTGTCCACCCCTTTACCTCAATGGGTAAGGGGCTGCAATAGCCTTACCTTGACGTACCACTATTTCACCATCAAACGCCCAGTGCAAGGGTTGCACGAGGAAAGATGAGATGTCCCTGTAATCTGGTTGTGCCTTTGCTGCTACCGATTGGAAAATCTATACAAATGAAAGTTTCGCAAAAAAAGATATGCACTCTTATACCGATAAGTAACTCCATCTTGCATATTCACAGTAAGGAAACTTATGCATTTGTGTTCGTGACTTGGGGTATTTTGTGCACAGATTAGCTGGACACATGCTATGAATGCATTTGACGGTATCTCATCACAGATAATCTATTGGTTTCTTAAACATTGTACATTGAGCTTCACCAATTACACAGTCAGAGCATCTTCATGCAATTAACTTAACTCTTGCCTGTTTTGTAACTTGTGCACAACTACAGGGTGTCAACACCAGCAGTTCAATACAGAGAGAGCAGTCCTGCAAAAGCCAACAGAATCACACCTTACAAGTGACAAATCAGGAGGCACGGAAACCAAAACAGGCAGAGAACCACCACAGCATACACCTCATATTAAGTCCTTAGAACTCACATTTCCCAGTTTATCCCATGAAGACATTACATGGCCCGTACCCTCTCGCTTCTGTTCTCAAGACCACAGGTTGTTTTTGACATACAATCCTACATCAATACTCCTTCAATCCAGTCCTTCCAAAATAAAATGTGTAAACAGTTCAATATTCACCCCTGTCATTCTGCACAAGAGCCATGTTCGTTCATT